CCCCGTCCCCCCAGTTCCCCAACATCTACCTACCACTTTCCTACGTCTCCATTTCTTGCCAATTTTCTCGAAGTTTTCCGAAAATTTGCTACTTTTTCCCCAAAAAGTTTCGTCGAGGGGCGGGGAGATGGGGTCTCAGAAACCAGTTCTTTTCTTCAACTATCAGAAATTAGTAACTATATCGAACTTCGGCGGCACCACAATCCAGGGGGTGGGGAATTCCCAAACGTGGCAAATTTCTCCCAAAGGCATTTCCCCCCACTCCATTGTGTTTCACACGAAGATGCTGTACCCTGCATACAGCAGCTTTTCCTGTCCCCCCCCCCTTTCCGCATATCAATACCAAACCTTACAAAAGCTAGTCATAAGATAACATTTCAGTCACTGGGGTCGCTTAGGCGAAGCTTGCCATGCGCCACTGATTGATGCCGGATTTGAAAGCAGAGGGCACGATAATTTGGTTACTGGTCGGAAGTTGAAGTACAGGCTATTTCGTCACTAAAGCTGGCACCGAGAAGCCCTTGTCAGTGCGCGTGCTACTGGATTAAAAAAACAACGATGACCATGTCCTAAGGCACATCGTGCGATTACCTACAACGTGGAACCCCATGTGAAGTGTAGGTATGCATCCACATGGGAAGCACCATTTTCTAGCTCGAATTTGTGTGGTGAAGGCGTCAGAGACCTGCAAGTGTTTGGACGCAAACCCACTGACCAGACTCAACGCCCATTCAGGAATCGCTGTCTGTTGGGGTGGACTCACTTGTTGTTATCTCTCGCTATTTCGCCGCTTTTTTCTCTTTCGCACGTTCAGTTTCTCCACGGCATAGGCCGTAAGCTGCTCAAAATCGAATGCGGGAAAAACGAGCTTATTCTGGGCATTTCCGATGGCTCTTTATCCTTTTTTCTTCACTGATAATCACTTAGCACATCAATCAGTTTTCGAACCCTTCTAGCGACCACCGTGCTTGAATTCAGTGATCTTTGAATCCGCTGCGAATGACTGGGCGTGTCTGGGGATGGGTTTGGCGCCGCGCCAGCCGGTCTCATTCGTTCATAGCGTTACTATCATTCGTTTTCCATCTACTATTTTCGCTTACGCGCTTCAACAACTGGAGGAGAACGGGTTTGGCACCATGGCACACGCATAACTGTCTTACCCCTTTCCGCGCAGCGAGCTGAAGTACACGCTAGCATGATAGCAGCACGTACGTGCACCCCTTATCCCTAAGACGGAGTAGACGTAGCATTTGCACATGGCATGGAAAGGGTTACCCTCGGGAATATTTTTCAGATTGAGACAACTGACATCTTGTTCTCTGCTGGACAAAGAAATGAATTACAACTGTTTACCATAATGACAAAATATATCACGAAACCTTCACTGACGCCACGCTCAATTCAAGTGCGCAGCCACGCCTACCGCATCTCAGGGATTTTGAGTGTACCTATATCCACTCAGGAACCTTCCATCTCCAGATGTACCATCAAATCTGAGCTCGAGCCGAAGTGGTGCACATCGAGAGCTTCATACTGCGACACCGCAGCATGATGGAACCGTGCGAACCGCGTGGAGAGGTGCGATTGTGCGCAGTTATCGACGACGCGCCAGAGGAGAATTACTTGCCTTTTTGCTACTTCCCTCGACCATGTTCCTATTAGACACCCCATTCTTCTCCAGCTGACAAGTTTTCGTCATCATGGAGCTTGATGCCATTACTTCCAGCTTCACAAGAATTCACAAAGTGAGACTGATTTTTTGCGGAATAACTGATCCTGACGAAGGTGCTACGCACTGAAATATCGCAAGATAAGATATTTCAAAAGCTTTCGAGCTTTTCGGTGTCTTTTGAAATAAATTTTTGGAGTTTCACATTGTTTCTACACAGTCAGATAAGAAATAAAACTTAGGGACAGCACAATACTGCAGAGTGAGACTAGTGAAGCAAACCGGAACTAGTGAAGCAACGGAAGTACAAAAAGCCCACCTCCCCCCCCCCCCCCGTCGCCGAACTGCGCGTGCAATAGCTTTGTCCAGTTTACAGACTCCTCTCACAGTTTGAAGTCACCGGAGCGAAGGCTATCGAGTGAATATCTCCATGGACGATGGCATCGGGAGAAGGGTGAGCGAAATGGCCTATGGCTCCAACAGCGTTGTAACCCAGTCGGGATTCTCATAGCAGAGCGTTGTGAATGTGCTGCTTTTTGTTCGCCACATGGGGTTTGAGAACAACGGCTGCGATGGTCAATGAATCGACTGTGGGATGCTCTGCACTATGCTCCGCATAGACCACATGACTAGATTCTTAGATCCCTTTGCATCTGCCTCGAGACCTTGAGAGTCACGAACTTTTGGGGCACGCCATTTTTTATGATCGCAATCTTTTTTAATGATTTTTATGAAATCCTATGTGGTCGCAACTTCAAAGAATCATCTCCTGGCGCTGTTTGACGACGGGGGGGGGGCACATTGCACTTTCACTGCTGCAATACATAGTTCTGATTTTCAGGTTTCACTCTGGTAAAGCCTGTGTGAACTCTTGTTAAGCTAGAGTAGGCTCGTCGAGCTACCATGATAAAACCTGTCAACCCTTGTGAGCTCATGAAATAGCTCTCTGGTCAGTAGCAAAGTGCAAAATGCCCCCCCCCCCCCCCGGTCGCCGAACTGTGCCTCATCTTTCCCTTAGTGACCGAGCGCTCATAGTTGACGAATTAGACCATGGCGCATTTCAAGGGAACAGTTATGCCGTACTACAGGATGGATGTGTAATTGATCCTCTGGTAACCCGCTAGGAACGGATATTGTGACCATCGGGTTCGCGAACTGTGAACACAGCCTCGGATACGCTCGGCTGGTTTTCGTTTTCCACGGGAGCTTTACTCAGCATTTTGAAACCCCGAAATAATTAATTTTCATTATTCACAAGTGGGAATTTTCATTATTCACAAGTGGGAATGTTATCATTCTCAATTTGTCTGATGTTTGTACTCCTACGAAACTTTTGGGGCAGTTCGGCGACGGGGGGGGGCATTTTATCATTGCTTCCCTGGTTCCGGTTTACAAGTCTCACTCTGGTGAAACCTGTGAACTCTTGTGAAGCTGGAGCAAGGTCAAGCCATCATGGTAAAACCTGTCAACTCGAGAAGAGGCTGTCTAGATAGGTCGACACGTCGATGGGAAGTAGCAAAAGTGCAAAATGCCCCCCCCCCCTCCGTCGCCGAACTGCGCCACTTTTTGCAAAAGTGGTAGCGCTGAGAGCATATGGGCGGATCCTCTGCATCCATTTTGCATTGAATGTGCGGGTGGGAGGTTTAGAGCCGCCACACAGAAACTTAAACAAGCATTGATCTTTCATTCTATACTTAATAGAATTTTCAAAAGCATCTCTCAGAGACCCTCTTATCGTATAACCGTCCTCGGCCCAGTTCGGCGACGGGGGGGGAGGACATTTTGCACATTCACTGCTTCCCATTGTCTGCTCATTGCTTTACAAGTGTTGACAGGTATTCTTTGTAAGGGTTACAAGTAGTTTCTACAAACTTTGACTTCGTGGCTTCTCAAGATTTCACAAATCTCTACTTGATGGCTCACACGACAATGGGAAGCAGCGAAAGTGCAAAATGCCCCCCCAATCAAACTGCGTCTCGACCTTTTCTACTTATTTTCTAACATCTTCGTTTTCTTGTGAGTCAAATGGACGCCGCTTTTGAGGAGAGTGGCTAGAGGAATCGTTTTGAGGTTTTATTTCTCTCGTCATTGTCGCTCCAGTTCTTGTCATTCGTCGTTAATTCTTCCCTTTTTTCATCTACGGTAATTTCCTGCATTCAGGATTTATGTCCCCGTACGGACGATGATCTACCACGATACTGGCGGCTGGCTAACATTTATATTAACACTGATTGACGTGCATTCTATAGCAGGAATTATTCTCTCGGGAGCGCCGAATTCATACGCCAGGTCAGTTTGACGGAAGTGTATCTCACAAGCAGGACACGTCCTGTCGTTGGGAGGGGGGGGGGGAACTTTGCAAAATTCCTCACGCCCGCTCCACCTCTATCTGACCTCTGAAATTTCGCTCCTCCAGTACGGCTCCTTGTCGAACTTGCTACCGCTTTTCTGGAAATATTCTGAAAAAAAAATTCAGTTCAAAAAAAATTGGGGTTGGACGCGGAAAGGGGTTCTCACTAGGAAAATACTAATTTCATCTCTTAGGAATGGGGCACATCGTTAGTTAGGGATTCTGGTCGAGTGCGTACGCCCCCCCCCTCCCCCTAGAACATGGCTTGATACGACCCCCCTAGTTTCCTGTTCTATACGATTCGAGCTGGCGAGCGGGCGGGGTGGGGGTACGTAGCACCTGCGTGTGAAACGAAAAAAAACGCGAGGAAAATACCACTCCCCCGAACCTTCCCCTTCCTACCTACCAGTTTCTTGAATTCTCCCAACTTTCTACCATTTTTTCTAGTTTTTCCGGGATTTCCTGGAGAATTTTTCTATTTTTCTTACAAAATTTTACTGTCGAGCTCTGGGGGGGAGGTACAAAGGGAAATACCGCGAAAAGAGCGAAGTTTACAACCGGGAATAATTTTTCCCAACACCGCAAATTTCTCTCGACAAACCCCTTCCAACAGCGTCCGTGAACCAAGAAGAATCAAATTTCAGAAAAAAAATTTTTCTTTCTGAGACCAAATACGACCCCTCCCACCCCAGCGACCGAATACGACCCCTTCCTGTTGAGGAATCCCCAATGATTATGTGCCCTGTGCTCAGAAAGAGTTGTCGCATAGCTTCTTGGAGGCGGCGCCAACCAGGGATTGTATGTCCACATGGAAAGGCAAACCATTCCGTAAACAGTCCACGGCCAGAAAATTTCCTCGCGGCTGTGAAAAAAATTTTTTTCTCAAAGGCGAGTAGACCTATTTCCCGTTGTTCGCAGAGGATCCCCCAGTGGAGGCCAAATGACCTCCACTGGGGATCCTCTGCCAGCGACGTGCCCTGCTGACGCAGGAGGTTCAAGCTCATTTTAAGAGCAGTTTTTTGCATGTTGTAGTAGGAAGGGGACTACGAAAGTGTGATTCATTTTTGCTGCGCTTTCTGGGAATGCCAAGAAGGGGCAAAAAAAGTCCAACGAATTCATGAAGAACTCGGCAATAAGGAGCTCTTCTATTTTTTTTCGACAAAAGGTTCGGGTGTTTTTGGGTACGTTTTTATATAGCCAAGATCTTCCAAGCTATATGAACACGAGAAAATTAAAAATGCATGAATGGAAAATTTTGTCATTCAGAGAATCGAAACTTTACCCTATTGTTCGCTACTTTCTTGGCCTTTCCAGCATCGCATGAAGCTCTACAACATGCAACAAACCGATCGGAATCAATTTTCTCTTTATCTCAGTATCGGTACGATTTCAAGCAATACAGACAAGAGCAGCAGTTTATCAGTCTGATTTCAAGCGGTTAGGCTGAGCCGTCCAAGGATTTGCTTTTTTGGTCCACGTTTTGGCTTATTATCCCACGATTCGTTGTGAAAATAGGCTGCGCGAAGTATGAGGCCCATCCCTCCTTTCCAATACAATCTTATTCGCTGCGGACGCTCAGGCGTTTGGGGAAGGGGGAGAGAGGGAGGAGAGGTTGGGAGAGGGCTGCTTTGCCGCAGCGCCTGCTAGTTTTCCAAGGTCGCATTCCCCACTGATTGTGGTGGCCTACAGCTTCCAAAATTTATGAAGAACAGGCTGCTCCACCCGTCCCCTGTAACGCCCTAGCGCCCTTAGGAAAGAAGGTTCTACAAGAGAAATATAGCCATTACGCAGTAAAACAAGGGAACGAAAAATGGCCTGAGTTTTCTAGGTATCCGAAGTGGGCTCATTCGTTCGAAAATTCGCTTTCATTCGAATTCAAAACGAAGCAGTCGCATGGCCTTCTCCTGTACACCGATGATGGCGGTGTAAATGGCAATTTTTATTCGATCAGTATATCCGACGGGAGAGTTCAACTTGACTTTCGGTAAGTAAAATATTTCAAGTGACTTTATGATTACTATGCTTTTAATCTGATTACGTTTCGATGTTCTCCTTCACTTTATAGTTCTTTCACAATTTTGTTAGTTTCGTCCTCCCGAGGGTGAACCTCTCGCTTGTGGTTCCCCCCTTGGTTTGTTCGCCTGGGGTCCCAGACAAATTCGTTTGTAATGGATCGAGTTGTCGGCAGACCCCAGTCACATCATTGCGTCAGAATCAGGGACCAGGACTTCGTTGCTGGACCACCTTCATCCACCTATTAGGGACAACCTTTCAGTAGTCCCACATGGAAAATTCGCTGTTAAGTCTCTTAGGTAGTTCGTGTTGCAGCTTGCTTGCTTCTTCTTCGGTTTTTCACGTTTTTTATTGTTTTTCTACTGACAAGTGCCATCATTTTGGGTCACATCTGGGTATTTGTTCTACGAGTTTCTTTTCCATGAATATGGGCGCGCTCCAATGTGTGATTCAATAAATGAAAAAGCAAAAAATAAATTCCTGGTGCTAAACTGTGTATACACTCCGCAACCCAGAAATGGAGATCCCGTGGCTGCGTACCTCATTAAAACGTGGCGAAAGCACTCTGTTGGCGGGGGGGGGGGGG